TGAGTGGCCCGCCCACAGGAACTGCAGATGCCGTCCCAGAGCGGAGAAACCCGACGGGACAGACTTCCTGACGCAAGACACCAGTAAAAAAATAAAAATAAAAAAAAGTCAACGTCACGCCCATTTTTCCATCGGTTTTTCTTGTCTCTGGCCCCTTGCCTATGAGTCTTGCTCTGAGAGTCCACGAACAGGTTACCATTTCCTCTCTTTACCGTCTGCAATGCCAATTGATGTACCTGTTGGGGGTTTCTCTCTTGTTCCGTGCTCCCATCAGGCCACCAACCAAGCATGGCACTGTAGCAATAGCAGCGAGTAGGTAGCCTTACACAGCAGCGGCAACCAGCCAGACATGAGAGGGCATTGCGTCGTGTACTCCCGTTTCGTAAACACACTCCCAAAAAAAATTTGAAAAAAATGGAAACTCCCGATCCGCGATGAGCCCAGTGACTGGTCCGGGTCTGTATCCGTACCGTACCATCACCTCACACCTGGGCGGCTGTTCCTAGCCCCCTCATGCTGAAACACGCTCGTCATTGAACAACAACAACGGATCCCAGGTTGTGTGCGCCCGTATGTGTAAGGGAGCGCCCGAAGGAATAGCAGGGTGCTGGTAGGCGCCAACAGAAGACCAGAAGACGGCATCTCGGGGCTTGCAAGATGCGAAACCAAGGCCCAACGTCGCGATCCACACGGAACATTCGCCAGGGAGCACGCAATTCACCCAAAGCCAACCCCGGATGGCTGTGTTTTTACAGTGTCCAGCGATCATCAGTGCATATACCACAGCAGCATGCACAAGTATCCCATTCGAGACATGCCGCCATATATCGCCATTATTATTCCCTTATTGTGACGGGTAGTACATACCCCTTTAATTGATGGTGCATAGGGCAAAACTGGGAAAATACTACGATTATGTTTATCTGCAGGACCCTCGCTACAGATACTATACATAACTGCTTTTATTTCCCGACGCGAGGCACTACGCTGCACAGCAGGCGGGCTAAGTACGGAATACTACGGGGGTGTGCACTTATGCGCACGGGTGGCCGATCAACCATATGGGCTTATGGGCTCACATGTCCCGACATTCCATTCTCATTGCCCGGTTGACTTAGGTAATGGCATGTTTCCCGTGGAGCCCTCCGGCCGGTGGTGTTTTGAGTCGACTGTTGAGCGTGGCTTGGCGGAGACGTATGATGATGGACGATGATGACAACTGAGAACAAAAAAGGCTCCATCGCATTCTTACTATGAACAATTTTCACTCTTGGTGACAAGGGCAGGGCCTTCTGGCCGCATCGAAACGCACCACTTGGCGGTTTCTCTCAGTCAGGATTTTCCATGGAACGGTGGTCGGTGGCATTTCGAACACACCCCGCCAACGCCCGGCATAACTGCGTTTCGCATTCTTCCCATATCCATAGCATCGGAGCCCTCCTCATCGTCAGCAAGACTAGTGCAGCAGCTGACGTGAGGGGCAGTACCAATACAGGGAGAGGAATTGATTGTTTTGTTTCGAATTTCCTTGGGAGGACGTCAATATACCGACGGCGTCTAATATCAGCCACTGCCACCGACTTTGTGAAGTGTGTGGTTCAGCACTACCTGAGGCATTAACCACCGTCAAGGAAAAAGGAAAGAAGAAAAACTTTCCAGAAGGCTGATGCTTCCAGTCATCATCGTGTTTCTCGTTCCGCTCGCTTGCTCCACTTTCGGTGAGTATTGACTCACAGACAGAAGCAATGCCAATTTTCACAACCATGGGAAGCTGTGATTCACACAGAGTGGGGAGGAGGCTCCGTGGGCATTGCGTTGGTCCGTGTAAGTGGCAGCCCCGCCATGAGATGGCATCAAATTTTTCTTCCTGTGCTCTTCCAATCCCTTCACCGGAACTCTCCATGGCTTGGAAGACCGGCTTGGGCCGGGATCTGATCTGCAGCGAATCCGGCCTGGCGCAATCTCGAGCCGCTCCCAAACAATCGGGTGAGTCCAAGGGCGTAATTTGTGTTGTCAAGCGCCCGTTCTTTGAGCCAGCGTGGACGAACCAGAAAAGAAAAAAAATTTGTCCATGTTGACAGCTGCTCGTTTCAGAAACTGGATTTCATCTATCCTGGCGAATCGCAGGCCGTCGTCATCGTGGCGCGGGGTCCCTGATCTCCTGCGACCCCTGTCGGGTTTAGGTAATCGGTAATCCAGGCTGAAGGCGGCGTTAGACAGCTCAGCGAGCCGTGTTTTGGAGGGTGGGGGTGTAAGGGAAGACGAGGGAGAGAGCGCGGGAACAGGGATCTCCCCTAGCTCGTTCGGATAATTTTTTCTCAGTCTGGTCGATTGATTGATCTTCGTTCCCGCAGGCCTCAGATTTCAGTCAGATTTCAGCCTGGCGACGCAGGCGGCGCTGGCAAGCTGGGCCGAGAGTGTCACTGCACGGGCACCCTTGCAACGGGAGAACTGGACATCTCGAACGTCTCGAACTCCACCGTCTGCGCAACAAACCAAACACGTTGCGACGCTGAGTGCGCAGTCAGTCTCACAGTCACACTCGCAGCTATTCCGACCCCCAGCGCCCCCGCCAGCTTTGCTCTCGGCCGTGCCTTGGCGAGGTCGTATGTTTTTGAGGGAGCGAGGCTTGAGTGGCTGCTTCGAGACTTCATGGACTCACTCTCTCACGGCACAACAAGGCGATATGCGCCGCCGCCGCCTCACTGCCTCTGCTCCTCTCGCTCTCGCTCCCTTCCCTCTCGCCCCCATCCCCCTCTCCTCAGCCCGTCCAGCCAGTCTGTCTGTCAACCCTCGGGGGACCGAGTCCCGGGCCCCAATCCAAGGCAACTCGAATGGGCCGCGTTCCTCGTCCCGCGTTGCTTTCGGGTGCCGTTTCCGCCTTCCTGATCTTACTAGTCCGTCGAGGGGCCGACTGAATCTTATTCCTTCTTCCGTGTGGACACCCCCAGAGCCTTGCTCGAGAGCGCGGTATTGGCTGGAGGTGGTACGCAACCAGCCCATCCATGCCCGCCTCTGCTAGCAAACCTGTCAGCCACCATGCGATGCCCGAGGCGAATCCAAGGCAAACCTGGGCGTACGAGCGTGCCAAGCTGTGCTGGTGCAGCAGAGCCGTGCAGAGAAGCCTAGGGAACCCGCAGCTCGCGGAGTTCTGTGTTTCTGTGAACTCTGTCAGACTCTCGCCCCCGAACTCGACCGCGTTTCCTGTTGGCCGCGGCGGCCCCGCACTTTTCTGGCACCGCTGGCTAGTCGGTCTTCACGGCTTGCCCTCCTCCAACATGCTGGTCGGATTCGGAGGCTGCTCCGTCCATGTGGCTGGCGCTGGATTGGTAACCTGCTGCCCTGGTGCCCCAGCTTCGTCACCGGCTTGCATGCGTCCTCTCGGCGGCCATCCCGCCCAACACCATTCCCGAGCCTGCCCCTCCCGCTCACTCGCTGACTTCTCCCGACCGTCCCGCCGTGCTGCATATGCCGCAACTACTAGTGTGTTGCCTGCTTCCCTGCTACGGCCCCCGGTGGTGCAATCAGCTTTGTGTTCCTTTCATTTGTGTTCCTCTCAGGCGTCCAGATTAGGGGAGGGGGGACTACCCAATGCGCAGAGGATGGACGAATCGGGCATGCTTGTACTGCAAATTTTTTTCTTTCTTTCGAAAGCCATCGCTGTCTCGTCGATTCGCCCGTGGCCGCTTCCGGTCACGGTAGCACACGGCTCAGAACCGGGGTGGAGCGAGCACCGTCTCGAGAGATCTTTTGGTGCCACGCGATCTAAAACCCGCCCAATGGCCAACCGTTCACTGAGTCGATCTTGTGTCCCAATTTCACCATTGTCTTGGACAGGGTTTAGACCCGAGACTGCCGAGTTGGCAGGCGAGCTTCGGGCACCGCACGGGGGCAGGTCCTGAGGGATGAGGAGATCCAGGATGAGGGACAACCACTCGGAGCACTACTGGTTTGTCACTACGTACGAAGTACGGCTGTCCCTGTCCTCGTCTGGATGAAACTGCATATTGCCGTTGATAGCCCTGGCATCCATCATTTTCCTCACTTCTCCCTTCAGCTGGGGCAAGGAAGCCGACTGCATTGGAGCGCTTATTCCCCTCACTCTGCTACGTGGACACGCGTCCGCCCTCTCAAAGCCTGGTAGGGCAAGCCCAAGAATGTGAAGACCCCTGCCCAGGTTCACGTCTCAAGTGCATTGGAGACGGTTGATTGGCGATGGCGGCATCGTCTCGGCACGGGTACAACTGGCGAGAATGATTTGCTTTTTTTGTCGGGCGTGTCGTGCGGAGCACACATATTGAGCTGCGTATCTTGCAATTGGGTGTGTTGTGTTGGGGATCTCTGGATATAACAGAAAAAGGAGGAAGGCTCCGGGGAATACCGCGAGGAGGGAAATATCGCTGCGGCTCAGCGCCTCCTGTCGGCGGCACCACGCATTCCATCCCCGACTGTTGACGGAGGGAGGCGAGCGGAGGTCCAAGGATGGAGCTGACTCCCGACAATGTCTCGCAAGGTTCCGTCGACCTATTTCGTTGCTCGCTTTCCCTCTCGCTCCCCGCGGCAACTTGGAACATGGAACATGGATGGGGGATCTGGAATGTCCACACTAGGTGAGATGTTTCGGGCTTGACTAAAGGAGCGGCATCTAGCCATGGATATCGCTTGTGCTTCCCTCGTCGGGAGAGGACGTTGAGACCGATACCCAGTGTGAGTGCGCCAAGACAACGGCAACCTGACGGCTTGCGGCCGTGATCGATCCCGAACAATGCATCGCCTTCAAAACACGGTATCGAGCCGTCGAGGCCCGGTCCAGCCCGTCAATTGCTTGACTAGTCTAGTGACCATCGGTGCGAGCCAGCTAGGACGACGCCTTCTTCCCATTTTATTCAACGGTGTTGTATGGTGTCGCTAGTTTGGAGAGCCTGCGATGCTAGTCTCGATCCGTCCGCCGTCTTTTTTTGGGGTGGGGCTGGAATTGTGAATTTCATCAAACAGCAAATGGTTGTATAGTGTAGTGGTTATCACATGGGATTCTGAAATCTCTGGATCCAGGACCTTCCCATGACCCCGGTTCGACTCCGGGTACGACCTTGACGTCTTACATTTTTTGCTCTCGTGGGCTGCGTTCTTTTTGTTTCTAGACGCTCCCACTTGACTGTTGCGGCCTTGGGGACGATGTTGGCGGTGTTGTTGTGGTAGTTGGAACATGCCAGCAGTCCTCCCGCCCAAATGCTGGTTTGTTTGTTAGCGCAAAACACCCAGCGGCGAGGGACGCACTAACAGACGAGCACCGGCTATATGGTGGCTCGTTGATGTGCAATATTCCCTACCGTCAAGAACAAGACCGCCAGCCGCCGTAGCGTGAAAGTCAGCTGTCTGACGCTAGCTGATAGGCCAAGACTGGACTGTATATCTTTACGCTTTCCCCGACGTCTGAAGGAAGCCCGTTGGGTCTGTCGCGAAGGAAGGCCACTACATTAGCTAGGTCTGCGGTGGCACCCGCGATGTGACGCTCTGCAGGGCACTGCGGAGCTAGCCATCCATCAGCCTGTCCGAGTTGCGTCACGGAGCTAGCTGGGTGGATGGGAGATGTCGGGCACCGCAGAGGAGAGCCATGCGAGGGATGGATCGCCGTTTGATGATCTGGCACGGCGGGCGCCAGTCAGTCCAGGCGGGTCCGTCACGGCCGAGGGACAGCTATGACAGGTTGGGTGGTCGATTGTGTTGTACATCTTCGCCCCTTGCATTGGGGAGGCGGAGGCGGAGGGGGGGGGGGGCCGCGAGGCAGAGGAAGAAGAAATGAGTGATAGCTAGGCGAACCCGCGCGTATCGCGGCCCCCCGCCATGGTAGTTGGTTTCTACCGAGACGGGCGTGTTGGCATCCCGATCATCCGAGCATGCGGACGGCTCAACGGCTCGGCGGCGTTGGTGCCACGTTTTTCTGAGTGGGTGCTGGGGAACGACCTGGGACTCGGGTCTGGACTCGGGTCTGGACTCGGGTCTGGGGTGCCGCGGGGAAGAGCCCCGGTGGGCAGCCGGCGTCGAGGACAGTATGCGAGAACAGTATGCGAGGACAGTATGGGGTGGCGGGCGGGGTTGGGGTGATGGGCCGCTGTGTGACGGAGGGACTGGTTGGCGGACTGATAGTTCTTCTAGTCTTTCTCCTCCCTTTGGCTGGCTCTGCGTGGAGTGGGCAACGGTTGTGGGATTTTGTTTACCTCTCGCGAGCAGGCCGATGGAGTGGTTGGTGGGTAGCTGCCGGTTTTGCGCACTCGTTCTGGCGATAACTGGATGGCCGGTGACAGGCTGGACGGCCAAGGCTGGGTCTAGACCGCATGGCTGGTGAGTACCGAGTGGCTATCACTGCAGTGTGATGAGAAAAGAAAAAAAAGGGGGCGAATATGATACTTGTCCTTGTTCCACGCTTCAGTGTCATCCTGAGGGGGGCATTACCCGCGTTCCGAGAACATGCAGCTTGGTTTAGTCAGGGCAGCTACCGTAGGCTGGTGAGATATCGATTATTTTCCTGTTGGTATTACACACGAGCTTGATGCCCTCATGGGTGGTGTTGAGTGTGTTTCTAGACTCTATTTCGGGCTGGTGGTTCCCCGTCTCCTCGACGGTCAACACGTACATGGAGGGAGACAGCCAGATCATAAACCAGCCGGATATTTTTTGGTAGATGCAACATCCTACTTCCCATCAATGGCTGCCAACGAGTCGAGAACGACTTGCCTTTTACCCCCCCGAGAGTGATAATATCACTGAACCTTATGGCCTACCAAAACTACGTGAAAGTTATCGCCCCCATCCATCCGGACACCATATGTGTGAGTATCCTTCTCAGGAAGTTTACATCGCCATGTGTCGGCCATCGAGTTGACAACGCCCTCTTTGCAAGACAAACCAGTTCAAACCAGATCCACAAGCACAACGGTTTGCCATGTCAGCAATATCCCCAGCGGCTTCAGATTACTTACTCCCTTGGTGGGCTTGGCCCGCGCCAGCCAGCTATGCAATGCGCGGCACCACAACACAATGAGAGGTCGTCGCTCGACCAACTTCTTCTTCTCACGAGATGGCTTAACCTCGAGGCCAATAAACACCAACACACACATGCCCCATCTATGGCAGACAACAATTCATGAACACACAACCCAAAAGTCGAAGGAGGAGGGAAGAGGGCTCAATCGAGCAGCCCACCACCTACCACTGGCTACTCAGTATATCACATATCATCCTCATTGACCAAGCCAAACCACAGCAATTGCAATCCACATAGCGTTGCCTATGCCACGATCAACGGTCCATCTACACCAGCCATGTCCCACTACACCTACAAAACACCATCTCCGTTCGCACCCTATACACAAAACAGAGCGTTCAAGTCTGGCATGATGTGGCTTCCCACATTCCCCAGCTTCTCCCGCTCTCCGGGACCTCCACCCCTAAACCTCTCTCTGCGCGGTCCTCTTCTGTATCCATTGCTATACCCATGTCACCCTCTCATCACATTCCTCTCCCTGTTTTCTTACCCCCTACGTCTTCCACCGTAATAGAACCACCCAACGGAAAAAGTAAAAGGCCATCCCAATCTGCTTGCTGCACCCGCAATTGCATTCCATAGAAGTGTGACGTAGTAGTAAAACTTCCTTTGCTGGGCAAAAAAGCCTCCAACCACTCGTACCTTTTTCTATTGGTATCACTACATGTTCAAAAACAAGAAATCAACAAAACAGACCAGAGTGTAGAGAGAGAGAGAGAGAGAGAGGTAGTGAGGGAGTGAAAGAGACAAAAAGAGTCAGTGCCGCAAGGAATCTCTCAAGAACCTGACCTGGCGAGACGGGGGCGAGACGGAGGCGATCGGCGGCGGTCAGGCCATCGTGAAAAAGAAGCCCGCCTCAAAACAAAATAAAACGCCCTCGTCATAGCCCGTAAAACTCCCAACCGTCGTTTTCATGACCACCTGGCCGCGAAGATTCCCTGCGCACCTGGCCCGCCTCGTGGGAGGGAGCAAATTCGGTCCTCAGCTCCTCGCGCAGTCACAGCTCATCGTCCTCCTGCTCCAACTCCGAGGGCTTGAGCAGCCCGCTGACCTTGGACCGACGCTCAAGCTCGGCCACCTTGGCGGCGTTGTCTTGCTGCTCCTTCTCGAGGAGGAATAGTTCCGTATTATCGCCCGCAAACTCCCGCAAGGCGATGAGGAAGTCGCGCAACGTGAGTCGGAATTTTTCGTAGTGAGCGTTCAGTGTAAACAAGCTTTCGACAAATGCCGTGATTTGTCCACTAAAATCAGGTGTTAGTTAGCCAGAAGTCCAAGCGTCAGGAAAAGGGGTGTAACCTACGTTGTGAGGTTAGAAAAGGCCGTCCGCAGTAGATTGCTCACGAAGTTAGCAAGGAACTCCTGGTTTCCAGTTCCCGGCTGTGCCTGGTTCGGCTGATAGACTGGCCCCTGAATCTTGGGAGCGCTTCCGTCAGCGGGCTGGATGAAGTAGAAAAGACGCATCAGCAGCATCGACTGCGTCTTGAATCCCGCCTTGTGATCCTGGTCAGTCAAGACGAAGAAGACATCTTGGAGGATGGTAATAAAGAACTGGTTAAAGAAGGCGTTTGAAGTTTGGACGTCTGTCTTGTCGGCGATGTTGTTGATGAGCTCGAGACACATGTTGAGTCCCGCAGTCTCGACATCTCGGTTGTCATGCTTGCTGGCCCAGAGGCAAGAGTCAATGACAAACTTGAACTGGCGGTTGTCCAGCTTCAAAAGCGCTGAGCACACACAAAGTTAGCAATAGGCCATTGCAAACTTGTTCCGATAGGCCTTACCTGGGAAGCAATGCAGATTGATAGCTCGTAGGAGATTGAAGAACTCGACGCGATGCTCCGGGAATTCTGAGAAGTCCTTGTTGATCATCTCAAGCGTGCATTCAAACACGTTCTCCATGATAATAGGGACCTGATCGTCCATGAGATTCTGCGTTAGGGTTAGCCAAACATGTCCGGGTAAAGTTGGTGGGCGGTTAGCAGGTCTTGACAAACCTGGAGCTTGTTGATCATAGCCGTCATGGCCTTGAGGACCTCGGCATCGCGAGCACCAGGGACGTTGCGGTTATAGTCAACCAGGACAGAGTCGAGCAGTTGAGGAACCATCTGTGTCCGGACGGCCTGGTTATCTTCTGCTTTGTCGACAAATGTCTCAATGAGCTTGAGGATTTCCTTTTTGATGGTTCGGAGACCGCGGACTTTAGGCATCTTCGTGGCGATTTCACCCTCCCGAGCAACGGCTTCCGAGATAAGCTGGCTTGTGGCTCCGTACATCTGGAGCATGTCGTTATAAAGACGCCCGACTTGGGGAAAGAAGTAGGGGCCAATTGATGAACAGGCAGAGACATTCGTCTTCATGATGTTGCCGATGACTTTGATAGTATCGGAATCCTGGAGAATGGCCGGGTTTATGGTGGCTTGCCTGATAATCTCATCCCAAGCTTGGTTGGGGATTGACATGAGGTCAGAAAGGAGCCGTTCTTGCTGGTTCTGGTTGCCCTGTGCAGCTACCATATAGCCACAGGCCTCATAGAATGTGTGGACCTGCTGAGGAGTCAGGTCGCAGGTGATTTTACCGAGGTTCCTAATGATCTCCTCGATGAACGGCTCGTTTTCGCTCGGCTGGAGAGCGACAAAATGGCGCCGGCACTGTTTGGCGATCTTGATAAATGTATCGCACGCCATATCCTGGACACCTAGCAACTGTTAGAATGATACTTGTCTTTGAAGAGCGGGTTGCGACTTACCTTCATGTGACTCGTGCATAAACTCAAAGAGCTTATTGACGACAGTCTTGAGGAATTTCCAGTGCGCTTTGAGGAAGCGAGGGTACTGGCCAACAATGTACATTATGTTACTGGCCACCACGGCCTTGTTGTCCTTTCCCCTCTTCATCTCTGTCAGACCTAGCAGGTCCTTGATCACCGTGACCAAGAATCTCTTCTCGGTATCCTCGTTCATCGCCAAGGAGATGGAGCCAATGGCCCAGCAGAGAACATTGCAGTTGTGCCAAGACCACTCGGTACCGTCGACCTGCCGAGACAGCTTCT